CAATCAGTATTCAAGAAATAATGAATGATTTTAATTTCAATGTAAATCTTTTTTTAGTGTGTTGATATGGTTCGTTGTATTTGTTTACGACATGATGATCATAATATTGTATCAAGTTCATTGGAAACACTTGAAATTATACTTAAATATCCAAATTTATTTGATTTCAATGAATTATTAATTTCAATTTAAATTGGATCTATAGAAAAAACTTGTGTTAGTGAAGCCTTAAAAACAGGTAAATATTGAGAAAAAAAAACAAGAATTTTCTTTTCTTTTTTCTTTTCTAAAACAATAGCTTATTCTAGTAAATAAAATGAATGATGAATTCGATTCAACATCAATGATTAATAATGAAAAACGAACATCAGCCGCGAAACTTGTTAATCAATTATATTTTTTTCTGATTAGATATCTCCTCAATATGAATGATACAATAAAAAGTGATGATGAATCACGTATTAGTATGAAATATGCTACACTAGCATGTTTATCGTATTTATCAACAATTCCATACATTTGGTTATCTTTACTGAAAGTATATTGAATGTTTGTTAAAAGCTTCTTTTTGTAAATTTTCACTTCAGTAAAATAGATTTCTTTTATAATCCAAAATTATTTCTAATGTTATAACAGTACGAGAGCTTAGATGCATAGGATCAATCTGGTAAAGAAGCTTGTGGTAGAGTTTAGTTGATGTCACTTCAATTGGTTAAAGTCTCAAAGTTTTAGTGATAGACATGACAATTTCACTATTATATGAAACATATATACTGGAATCTGAAAATTCAAGAATGAAGATTTCTCGACATAGATTCAGCAGTTCTAGTCCTATTTCTACTTTTAATTTTTTTTGAAACCAATAAAAGACTAGAACATTGTCATATTCGAAAAGATATCAAGTAGAACACTTTATTGAATAGGTTAGACATACAAAAGTTTTGAAGTCCACAGGCTGCATGTATATATCTATACGTCAGAGATTGAAATAATAGAATCATACAACTACATCAGAAAAAGTTCTAAGCCGAAGTATGAGTTCTGTGCATATTTAGTACGAAAGAGATGTTCTTTTTTTTCATTATGATATGATACCAATTGCATCTTCTAAGGAATTTTTCTTTAGTCTTTGAACGTTTCTGATTAAATATAATTTTGTCAGGGATATGAAATTGCTTAATGAGAAAAATGAAATTCCAACTTCTATGTTACTTGTAATATATTAAAATCTATCAATCACCTATATGTCTTTTTTGCTTTTGTTTAAGGTATTACATCTTTTATCTGTACGTGAACATGGTGATCCATATTTACGTGGTGCATGTGCAAATTTACTTGCTAAATTAATTCAAACAACAGTTCATCTTTGAACAATATTATTATTATCAAATTCATTTAATAATTCTTTTATTANCTAAAACAATAGCTTATTCTGGTAAATAAAATTAATGATGAATTCGATTCAACATCAATGATTAATAATGAAAAACGAACATGAGCTGCTAAACTTGTTAATCAATTGTATTTTTTTCCGATTAGATATATACTCAATATGAATGATACGATAAAAATGATGATGAATCACGTATTAGTATGAAATATGCTACACTACGATGTTTATCGTATTTATCAACAATTTCATACATTTGGTTATCTTTACTGAAAGTATGTTGAATGTTTGTTAAAAGCTTCTTTTTGTAAAGTTTCACTTCAGTAAAATAGATTTCTTTTCTAATCCAAAATTATTTCTAATGTTGTAACAGTAGAAGGGCTTAGGTGAATGGGATCAATCTGATAAAGAAGCTTGTGGCAGAGTTTAGTTGATGTCACTTTAATTGGTTAAAGTCTCAAAGTTTTACTGATATATATGACAATTTCACTATTAAATTGTTTAAAAAAAACGACATGGAACACATTAGAATCTGAAAATTCAAGAATGAAGATTTCTCGATATTGATTCAGCAGTTCTAGTCCTATTCCTACTTTTAATTTTTTTGAAACCAATAAAAGACTAGAACATTATCAGACTCGAAAAGATATCAAGTAGAACACTTTATTGAATAGTTTAGACATACAAAAGTTTTGAACTCCACAGGCTGCCCTTATACATCTATACGTCAGAGATTGAAATAATAGAACCATACAATTACATCAGAAAAGGTTCTAAGCCGAAGTACGAGTTCTGTGCATATTTAGTACGAAAGAGATGTTCGTTTTTTTCATTATGATATGATACCAATTGCATCCTCTAAGGAATTTTTCTTTAGTCTTTGAATGTTTCTGATTAGATATAGTTTTGTAGTCGAAATAGAATTCTCTAATCAGAAAAATGAAATTACCATCTCTATATGACTTGTAATACATTAAAATCTATCGAACATCTATATGTCTTTTTTGCTTTTGTTTAAGGTATTATATCTTTTATCTGTACGTGAACATGGTGATCCTCATTTGCGTGGTGCATGTGCAAATTTACTTGCTAAATTAATTCAAACAACAATTCATCTTTTAACACTATTATCATTATCAAATTCATTTAATGATTCTTTTATTAATGTATGTTCATTTGTATCAATTGATTCGCAAGACAGTTCAAGATTAGGTTAAAAAAGTAGCCTCCTTTTTTTTCATTATCAATATTTTATTTGTTTTTGTTTTTCAAAGATATTTGTTTATATGAAGATGAAGCATATGAGAAGATGTTACACTTTCATAATGAATTAATTCTATCGAGAACGTTATTTTTGGTAACATTTGAATGCATAAGTCGATTTTAAGATTTGTTGATCACAGTTCGTTTTTACCATGTCAATGGATATATAAAATGCATCATTGATTATAACAAACAAATACTTTTGTAATAATATCAAATGATGAAGTACAGTGTGAAACAATATCATGTTTATTTACATTAATTTTTGATCANGGATATGAAATTGCTTAATGAGAAAAATGAAATTCCAATTTCTATGTTACTTGTAATATATTAAAATCTATCAATCACCTATATGTCTTTTTTGCTTTTGTTTAAGGTATTACATCTTTTACCTGTACGTGAACATGGTGATCCACATTTACGTGGTGCATGTGCAAATTTACTTGCTAAATTAATTCAAACAACAGTTCATCTTTGAACAATATTATTATTATCAAATTTATTTAATGATTCTTTTATTAATGTATGTTCACTTGTATCAATTGATTCACAAGACAGTTTGAAGATTAGGTTAAACAAGTGGCCTCCTCTTTTTTTCAGAATCAATATTTTATTTGTTTTTGTTTTTCAAAGATATCTGTTTATATGAAGATGAAACATATGAGAACATCAGACACTTTCATAATGAATTAATTCCATCGAGAACGTTATTTTTGGTAACATTTGAATGCATAAGTCGATTTTAAGATTTGTTGATCACAGTTCGTTTTTATCATGTCAATGAATATATAAAATGCATCATTGATTATAACAAACAAATACTTTTGTAATAATATCAAATGATGAAGTACAATGTGAAACAATATCATGTTTACTAATATTAATTTTTGATCATTTAGTTCAAACATCAATCCGAATATAGGTTGGATGTTTAGAAGATATTTATGTTCTTTCAAATGTTTTAAGAGCAACAACAATTCGATCATTTTTTCATAACTAGTATGATGAATCACCTCAACGAATAGAAAAAACGTTTTGAGAGTAGCACGAATGATTCAAGTAATTCAAAATTGAACTATTTTATTAGAAGATAATTTTCTATAGTTGATATTGCAGTTTTCACAGAAGAAAGGGGATCCAAAGTGTTAGATTTGAAGAATGTACATATTTGATCATGTTTTATCTGAACGAATTCGTTTGTTTTTTTTTTTTTTTAAAGAAAATGGAAAAGATCCAAATAATATTAATAATACAAATTCAATGACATCCAGTAAAGATTCATTAATAACATCAAATACAGACAAAGATTTAAAAAAAGACTTAATGGTACACAATTTGGTATTTATGGAAATAATCCATCAATGATGAAATTCATCGGAAAATGATCGTTTTGAACATTTATTTTCAACAACATTAATGTCTATNAATGGATGTTTTTGTAATTATATCCAATGATGAAATACAATGTGAAACAATATCCAGTTTATTAACATTATTTCATAACCAGTATGATGAACTTCGTTTACTTATAGATTTCTTAAAACATCCATTTATATTACATGATCTTAACAATTTAGAACTGTTACTCGATATTATTAATTTAATCTTTTCAAGTAAAGAGACAAAAAAAGATTTTTATTATGTTTTTTTCTTTGAATTTTTTCTTTTTATATCAAGGCTTATCAAATCATGCAAATAATATGAATGATATTCAAAAATTGAACTATTTTATTAGAAGATAATTTTCTATAGTTGATATTGCAGTTTTCACAGAAGAAAGGAGATCCAAAGTGTTAGATTTGAAGAATGTACATATTTGATCATGTCTTATCTGAACGAATACGTTTTCTTTTTTTTTTCTTTTTAAAGAAAATGGAAAAGATCCAAATAATATTAATAATACAAATTCAATGACATCCAGTAAAGATTCATTAATAATATCAAATACAGACTAAGATTAAAAGAAGACTTAATGGTACACATTTTTGTATTTATGGAAATAATCCATCAATGATGAAATTCATCTGAAAATGATCGTTTTGAACAATTATTTTCAACAACGTTATTGTCTATGAAATTTGTTCTCAGCCTTATTTCTACATAAGATTTAACAAAAAATTTGGAAGAAAGAGTTTATTATCTTAAATCAACATTTAATGTTGATAAAATAAAAGCTATTCAATGCACACAAAAGAAGGTAACTTCTTTTAAATAGTAAATATTTATTGTAAAGAAAATTTCAATATAAAAATGTCACAGTAACAGAAAAACTGATTTTGCAAATATCAACGGTCTGAATGAGAGTGGTTTATTGTGAAAGTATCAAATCTTTTGATTTGGTTCTAGCTTGAAATCCGAATATTAAATCATCTAATTTACGTGAGCGATCTGCAAGATACATTATCAATTCGAAATTTGAAAATATTCTTTTAATTTAGGTTTTATTAAACCATCATCAACTAGCAATCATTTCACCATCGTCTGCTGAAACAAAATCTTCGAATATTTCTTCATAAGAACCATTAAATAATATTTCAACTAATATTAATGCAATGACTATTCGACAATCAATGATTTATTTATTTGATTCACGTCATGTGTCAAGTATCAATAGTGATCATTCCAAAGAAAGTACTGCAATACGAGAGTAAAATAAACAAAAACTGCTGTACTCGATTTACTTGTTCAATCACTTTTAATTCGTGTTAATAATAGTTTATTAGATGCTGATGAAGTTCGTTATATTTCTAATCGTTTCGTTTATTTTGAAATAGTATTTTCTTACTCATCTAATCAATCAACTTGAAATAATTGAAGAAACTATAGCAGGTTATGATGTATTATCACATGATACACTTCATTCAAAACAAATTATTAAAATACAAGATTTAATAAAACATTATGATTCATATTATTAGCAAGTGAACATGAACCTGAAACACATGGTAGGAAGCAAAAAAAAGCATTCTCGAGAAAAATAAAGCTTGATTTAAAACAAATAATTAAGAATTAGAAGCACAACGAACGGTTATTATTCAAACATTATTTAAACGTATTCGATATAATAAAGTAATGTGATATTATAAGAAATAGTTGCTAAACGAAAAATGAAAATTCCTAAAAGTTTTTATTAAATGATTGTGAACAAAAGGTGTCTCTCTATAAGGTTTCGGATATCATAGATAAGCTTTACGATTGTTAACAGTTATTGTTAATAGTGTTCTAAATGAAGGTAATAAATGGAAACGTCTTTCACGACATATTGTCGATGTGCTTCTTGCGCATTTATAGCCATATGTTACTATTGGTTCATCTAAGATTATTTTTCTTTTTTAATAATCTCCGATTTTACGTTATTTGTTTTTCAAATAGGGTCAATCACTTTTGAATATTTATTTCCTGCAATAAACACTATTTAATGTTATCTCGTTAGTTGAATTACGGCCAAATGATCCATTTGTTGTTTGCTTTTCGAGCATTAGCAAAGAGAAACGTTCGTTGTTTTTTATTTATGAAATTTTCCTGTAGTTTAAAATTTTGTTTTTAGGATATCAATCATCAAACTATAAATCGATGGTTAATGAATATAGATATGATATGTCGATGTCTTGTACAAAATTCAACTGAAGAAGCTAAATTAACACAATGGAATGATGCTTTATCATCAGTTAATTTAACACGAGATGAAATGTTTAGTGTGTAAGTATTCAAAATGATTTTATTTGTAACTTAAAAACTATTATTCTCATTTTTGTTTTTAGGGCTCTTCATATTTTACATGATGTTGTATTACAAATTTTAACTAATACTCGACAATTACGCGGTCAAATGGATATGATATTAGTTTCTCTTGCATCCGATTATCGCTATTTATTTATGTATATTATGGAAAATGGTAATCAATCCAAACAATAGTTTATTTGTAAACATGAATATAATAGTCCAGTAATAGAAACATCATTTTTTTAGTTGAATCATAATCGATATGATAATATCATATCAACCATTAATTTGAAGATAAAANTTTAAGATTTGTTGATCACAGTTCGTTTTTACCATGCCAATGGATAGATAAAATGCATCATTGATTATAACAAACAAATACTTTTGTAATAATATCAAATGATGAAGTACAATGTGAAACAATATCATGTTTACTAACATTAATTTTTGATCATTTGGTTCAAACATCAATCCGAATACAGGTTGGATGTTTAGAAGATATTTATGTTCTTTCAAATGTTTTAAGACCAACAACAATTCGATCATTTTTTTTCATAACCAATATGATGAACTTCGTTTACTTATACATTTCTTAAAACATCCATTTATATTACATGATCTTAACAATTTACTACTGTTACTCGATGTTATTAATTTAATCTTTTCAAGTAAACAGAAAAAAGATTTCTATTTTGTTTTTTCCTTTGAATTTTTTTTTTATTTGAAGGCTTATCAAATCATGCAAATGATATGAATGGTATTCAATCAGCAGAATTTTTTTTTTCATATTTTATCTACGTTTGCTTGTGTTGTTGAAGATGTAAGCCCATAAAACCCACAAGCATCAAAAATAAATTTTCTGCCTATTCCTGCATCACCTCAACGAATAGAAAAAAAGTTTTGAAAGTAGCACCAATGATTCAAGTAATTCAAAAATTGAACTATTATTTTAACGTTCTCGAACTATTGCAAAAATACTCACAGTCATCATATTTTCAGGCAGAAGATAATTTTCTATAGTTGATATTGCAATTTTTACAGAAGAAAGGAGTTCCAAACTGTTAGATTTGAAGAATGTATTTGATCATGTCTTATCTGAACGAATTCATTTGTTTTTTTTTCTTTTTAAAGCGAATGGAAAAGATCCAAATAATATTAATCATACAAATTCAATGACATCCAGTAAAGATTCATTAATAACATCAAATACGGACAAAGATTTAAAAAAAAGACTTAATGGTACACAATTTGGTATTTATGGAAATAATCCATCAATGATGAAATTCATCGGAAAATGATCGTTTTGAACATTTATTTTCAACAACATTAATGTCTATGAAATCAGTTTTAAGTCTTATTTCTACACAAGATTTATCAAAACATTTGGAAGAAAGAGTTTATTATCTTAAATCAACATTCAATATTGATAAAATAAAAGCTATTCAATGCACACAGAAGAAGGTAACTTCTTTTAAATAGTAAATATTTATTTTAAAGAAAATTTCAATATAAAAATGTCACAGTAGCAGAAAAAAATGATTTTGCGAATATCAACGATCTTCATGAGAGTAGTTTATTGTGAAAGTGTCAGATCTTTTGATTTGGTTCTATCTTGAAATCCGAATATTAAATCATCTAATTTACCTGAGCAATCTGCAAGATACATTATCAATTCGAAATTTGAAAATATTCTTTTAATTTATGTTTTATTAAACCTTCATCAACTAGCAATCATTTCACCATCTTCTGCTGAAACAAAATCTTCGAATGTTTCTTCATAAGAACCATTAAATAATATTTCAACTAATATTAATGCAATGACTATTCGACAACTGATGATTTATTTATTTGATCCACGTCATGTATCAAGTATCAATAGTGATCAATCCAAAGAAAATAGTGCAATACAGATGCTGATGAAGTTCGTTATATTTCTAATCGTTTCGTTTATTTTTAAATAGTATTTTCTTACTCATCTAATCAATCAACTTGAAATAATTGAAGAAACTATAGCAGGTTATGATGTATTATCACATGATACACTTCTTTCAAAACAAATTATTAAGGTACAAGATTTAATAAAACATTATGATTCATTATTAACAAGTGAACATGAACCTGAAACACATGGTAGAAAACAAAAAAAAACATTCTCGAGAAAAATAAAGTTTGATTTAAAACAAATAATTAAGAATTAGAAGCACAACGAATGGTTATTATTCCTATACGAAAAATGAAAATTCCTAAAAGTTTTTATTAAATGATTGTGAACAAAAGGTGTCTCTCTATAAGGTTTCAGATATTATAGATAGACTGTACGATTGTTAATAGTGTTCGAAATGAAGATGATAAATGAAAACGTCTTTCATGACAGATTGTGGATGCGCTTCTTGTGCATTTATAACCATATGTTACTATTGGTTCATCTAAGATTATTTTTCTTTTTTAATAATCTCCGATTTTACGTTATTTGTTTTTCAAATAGGGTCAATCACTTTTGAATATTCATTTCCTGCAGTTGACAATATTTAATGTTGTCTCGTTAGTTGAATTACGACCAAATGATCCATTTGTTGTTGCTTTTCGAGCATTAGCAAATAGAAATGTTCGTTGTTTTTTATTTATGAAATTTTCCTTTAGTTTAAAATTTTGTTTTTAGGATATCAATCGTCAAACTATAAATCGATAGTTAATGAATATAAATATGATACTTCGATGTCTTGTACAAAATTCAACTGAAGAAGCTAAATTAACACAATGGAATGATGCTTTATCATCAGTTAATTTAACACGAGATGAAATATTTAGTGTGTAAGTATTCGAAATGATTTTATTTATAATTTAAAAACTATTATTCTCATTTTTGTTTTCAGGGCTCTTCATATTTTACATGATGTTGTATTACAAATTTTAACTAGTACTCGACAATTACGCGGTCAAATGGATATGATATTAGTTTCTCTTGCATCCGATTATCGCTATTTATTTATGTATATTATGGAAAATGGTAATCAATCGAAACAATGAAGTCGTCATCTTTGTAACGAGAACCGAAATGATTGATTTAAAAATTTCGATTTGAAACTTTAGGAAGAAGAAACTAACTGAACAGATAAAAAATGGTTTCTATCAAAGTCAAAAGACCTTAAGCTTTCATCATAATCTATATGATAGTAACATATCACCCATTAATTTGAAGATAAAACTTTCTTGCAATTCATTAATTACTAATGATCTGGCAAAAAACATTTGACTTTAAAATTTCTATGCTTTTATAAGATCTATAATTCTATTTTAGTTAAACAATTTCGAACAATTGTAAATGATTTATACCAATTACGAATTCATGACGAAACTCCATCGTCTTGATACATTTGCATATTTAATTATTTTATATGAATATTTTCAACTAAAATCATCTTATATACCATTATTATTAAAATGGACATAAATTCTGAATATACTTAATTATACACAAGAAACATAGTCGTCATCAATATTAACACCATCATCCTTAATAACCCATCAATAGATAGTCAATTTGAATCTTATTGTGATTTAATATGTCATCATGAATTATCTGCTGAACCTTTAACATCAATAACAACACATTATCAATTATTATTATTATTTTTATTTGAACAAAGTGATACATGTACACATCTATATAATTTATTTGGTCTGATACATCCGTACATCAGTTGCAAGTCATTGATTCGTTTGTGAAGGAATACATTTAGATAAAAGTGATCTTTTATTAGTTTTATTAATTGAACAATTTCTTCCATTATCATATATATAT